AGCCGTCATGTTTTTGGTTTCATTTAACACGGAAGTTGACGGCTGGAGAAAAATGTTGACGCAGTTGGATTTATTGGCCACAAGACGGCGCTGATGTATCATAAACTTGAAACTTAAATTGGATCAGTTTTGATATTTGACAGTAGCAAGTAAAGCCTAAATATCATTCTTTTAGCCAGAAACGTTATGACTTCTCCTAAAATTAACCAAAATACACAAATTACAATAATTTAAGGTTTTATACTATTGTACAGGTGCTACAAATTTTTGTACACAGAGGCTCACCACTCTTTGAATAAATGTGGGTCAGTTTGACCCATATCTATTCAGATGGTTTTTAGATCCAACAATCATGTATGTGTATTTTTTTTTATGGGACAGCAGTTACAGAGGTTGAGGGAAAAACCGGAAAAACAGGTACTGAGCTTTCTCTTGGTAGCCTAGCTTCTTTCCACTGTCTAAATGCATGTGTGTCTGAATAAGTAGGAATTCTGTACTTACAGGCACATGAAGTCTATGTATTAAAGTGTTATATAAATGTATAGTTAAAAGTGTGACTTGTTGTTAGAAGCTCTTTGAGGTCAGTTAGACTACAAAAGTACAATATAAATTCAAGTACATTACGAGTCCGTCAGCGCTGACAGGTGCAAAGCACAAGAACTCACAATGTAAGAAAATATACAAACAAAATATAAGCCAGTATTCTACACCTAATGAGATTAAACTAATTCAGAACAGCTGAGATTAAACACTCTCTGAAATGGAACCCCCTTTGCTTTGAATGCACATACTGATTTGCAATAAGCAAGTTTTATATTCTATATGTTAATATTTAATTAATATTAATAATTAATTAAGAGGTAAAGGACTGTGTTTAGTGGTTGCACTGGTTATATATTGGTTATACAATAAATCCTAGTAGTTCTAGACATTCCTAGCACAGCTCAACTGGTATTATGAATACACTGTTATTATTAAAGATATCTGCAATAAATAGTTAAATAATATTATTAGAGTTTCAGTTAAATACAGCAAAGGAACAGTACTAGTGGAGGTTACAAATTATTTTCCTATGCCTCGGACAGTGGACTCATCTCTATGCTTGCCCTGTTAGACTTGACTGCAGCATCCACTGACCACAATGTTTTACTGCAGAG